TGTTTCTCTCTTCTCTCTCTCTCTCTCTCTCTCTCTCTCTCTCTCTCTCTCTCTCTCTCTCTCTCTCTCGTGATGCAAACCCTAGACATGATCTACTTGATCCTGTGGTTTTTCTACGTATTCCTTTTGTTAAAAGTTTGGTGTGTTGACCCTAAGTCTCCACCAACCTAACCTCCTAGTGATAGCATGGTAGCATAAAGGCACAAACCACCTATTAAAATAAATAAAGCCTTTACCATGGGAAGAACTAGGTACAACACCTACCTCCCCCACCCTTGCTGCATTGTGTTTCCTCCCTACAGTAAAGTTGCGCCTTAAACCCTGCTACGCTTTCAGCCTGCACCCAGGTCGGCCGTCATCGGCGTTCTCTCAACGCTGTCATGTTTTTCCGCCGCGGTTTCAGGCCGGGTAATCTATTCTAATGAAGATCAGATCGGTTCCTGTACGCCGATACATTTAACTCCCTGTGACAGCTCCCTCTTGTTCCATCTCCTGACTTGTTTTTCTCACAGCTCTGTCCTCGTTATGCTCGAGCCTCGCCGCCTTCCCAGAATTGATGGGATATTTACTGCATGAAGCGTTTTTTGAAGTCGTACGTACTGTGAGCATAAATCAAACCCGTTCATGCAGCATCTCGGAGAAAATGTATTTGCCTTGAGCGTATTCTCCTTCTAGGGTTTCTATAAGTGAATATTAGAAGCTTTTCATTATCGGCTCATTATGTTGGATGAGGGAGACTGTAGTGAGGGGGGATTTTCCGCAGTAGCAATTTTATTTGCCAGCGATACGGTTAAAGGCACATCGGCCTCTTCTTTGCTCGCTCGGGCTCAATGCAGAAAACATACACACCGGATTGAAATGTGTGTTTCACCTCTGTGATGTACGAATTCAAGGATTGTGTCTTTCCTGTTATGCAGCCTGAGCGTTCTGCAGCTGGCTACCCGTGTTTCATTCTTCTCTGGCAATTCACTTTTTTTTTTTTCTTTAACTGTAAAGAATTTTTGTGAGCTGCCTCCACACATCAGTAAAAAAAAATGAGTTGTTTGACTGTTGCATTATAGGCCCATTCAGACTGTCCCTATGTGTTGCAGTACATCAGTGGTAGGCAAACTCTGTCCCTCCAGCTGTGGTGCAACCACAAATCCCATTAGGCATTGCAAATAGGGATGCATTGATACCGTTTTTTCGGTATCGAGTACCAGTTCCGGTATTTTTTTTTCGGTACTCGCTGATACCGAATACCGATATCGGAAGTGCCATTAAGGAAGCCGGGCGGCGTGTAATGACTCGCCACCTGGCTTCCTGATTAGCCAGGAAGCCGTCACCACAGTATATCAGTTCTTCTGTATATAGAGGAGCATGTAACTCACTGCAGGTGAGTCCTTATCCCTGTGTAAGCTACAACCCCCGAGACTTTGTGAGGTCAGGTAATGATGTTGGATGAGAAGATCTGGTCACATTCGACATTCCAGTTCATTCCATAGTTATTCAGTAGGGTTGAGGTCAGGACTCTGTTCAGACCACTCCAGTTCCAGCACACCAAACACCAAGCGGTGTCTTGATGTGGGAGAGCAAAATTGTCGAAATGTCTTTGTATACTGTAGCAATAATAGTACCCTCCGCTGGAGATGCCTAAACTCAATAATTTTGGGTAGTCCACATACTTTGGCCATTTAGTGTAAGTGTGATGGTCAGGTCTGGTTCACAAACTTTCAGACATATACTGTAATGAATGTTGATACAAAATACCACTTGCAACACAAATCTATAAGACAAGCAGTATATTTCTGGGGTTTTAGCTAGGGATGCACCGATACCGGTTTCTCTATATTTTTTTTGTTAGTACTCATCAATGCCGAGTACCGATAACGATGCTGTGTGCCCCAATTATCAGGAATTCGGGCAGTTGATCATGACCCGCTGCCCGGCTTCCTGATTGCCTGGGAAGCCGGTGTTCTATCGAAAGAACACCGTCTTCACTTGCCGAGGGTGCCTGGCTTTCTGACCAATCAGGAAATCGGACGGCAGGTCATGAGGTGCCACCTGGCTTCCTGATTGGTCAGGAAGCCAGGCTGCCTAGCTAATCAGCATGTCATGACCCGCCTCCCAGCTTCCTGATTGGCTAGAAACCCGGCTTCACTTGTTTCTAGGCAGCCTGGCTTCCTGACCAATCATGAAGCTGGGGGGTTGAGTCAGTACATCCCCACTTCCTGATTGGTTAGGAAGCCAGGCTGGGTTTCTATTGAATCGTGAAGCCGGGCAGCACGTCATGACCAATCAGGAAGCTGGGTGGCAAGTTGTTACGTGCCGCCCCACTTTCTGATTGGCTAGGAAGCCAGGCTGCTTGGCAACAAGTGAAGCTGGCTTCCTAGCCAATCAGGAAGCCGTGAGGCGGGTCATAACCTACCTCCCGGCTTCCTGATTGGAAAGGAAGCCGGCTCTATGCTCCCTCGGCACTGCCGGTCAGAGGGAGATCTGCCTTAGACTGGAAGTTCTGGTATCGGAGCATTTGGGCTAGTATGAGTACTCGCCTAAATACTCAGTATTGGTACCGATATCAGTAGGTGTGCATCCCTAGTTTTAGCCAAAGCCATACATGCCTCCTCTTTATGTCCCTCCTGCTGATATATAGCACAGATACAGTATTTCCTTATAGGTAAGGTAGGTTAGTACGAGGTATGGAACACATGACAAATGGAATTTGAGGCGAAGGGTAACAAAGTATAGTGTGGTGGACCAAAATGGCTCAAGAGGTCCTTCCTTTACACCACTACAATGTACGGGAGTGCCTTGTGTAGAATGTCACCACTGGATACAATTCAGCATTAAGTGGAATTTTTCTTTTGTTCTATTTCTTTGTAGAAGCTTGACCGTGACAGCAAACCTGAACACAACGAGACAAATGTTTGTACCTCATTCCCACGCTTTTATAGACCTAACTGGAGACTTTACTGCTGGTAAGTTCAACGGCACAGAAGAATTTCCGTCAGTATTGACCATTGCCTTGAGCATTTTTCTTTTTCAATTCTCCTTTAAGGTGCAGATAAATGTAGTGATAATGTACAACACAGCACCCAATAGAGGAGTTTCTTCACATCAACGTAGAGGGAGGGGGGCTGTCGTCCTCAAGGCCACCAGGACGCATCCTCACAAGACATGTAAACAGAAAAAAGGGACAGCGCCCACTCCTAGTGTAAAAACGTTTTTTTATAATAAAAGGAGTACAATAATCTCACAAAAAACGACTCACATTTGGATGAGCAATTTATAGCATACGGCTGTCAAAGGTAACCAGAAAGCTGACACGCGTTTCAGGGGTGCTCTGAGAAAGGGGGGAGCTCCCCCGAAACGAGCGTCAGCTTTCTGGTGTTATTAAAAAACTTTTTTACACTAGGAGTGGGCGCAGTCCCCTTTTTCTGTTTACATGCAGATGAATGTACATAAAGAATATATAATATTACACCTATCTCTTGAGAACTAAAGGTGATTCTCCCATTTAAACCTTGACGATGGGCTTTCTTCAATGGAGGCCTTTTACCGGAGGCCTTCTACCATTCTAGAACTGCGAATCCATCAATATCATTCAAGTTGCCCCTTCGGTTAATATTGCTGGACTCACAATTGTAGAATTGCAGTCACCTATGGGGACATTCAAGCCTAATGCCAGATGTTTTTATGTATTGCTTATCTGTGGTCTAACATTGGCCCTCTTCTGGGTTGAATGACACCTGGCATCATTCAGAAGCCATCCGAGGGGGGGGAGGCAGGGGTATAATGTGTATCTGGGCTTTAAAAGGAAACTTTTGGAATTCTTCACGTTAAAATGTGTAACCACATGACCAGTCACACACTCCAACCCAGTCACAATCTTTGATAGAACACTGGTATTGGTATTCGGTATCTGATAGTACCGAAAAAAATATATCAATACTCGTACTCGATACTGAAAAACTGGTATCGGTGCATCCCTAGTGATGTCAGCCGTGGCTTAGACCAGATGTGATTATGAATATGTGATCGACAAAAAAGTGAAGAATTCTGAAGCTTTCTCAGCAGTTCCAGGACAGATCGGCAGCGCAAATCGTATGTGCAGGTGAAACGATCTCACCTGGAACAGCTGATCGGTCCTGAAATGTGACTTTGTGACTGCGATCTCACATTCCACAGAGTCGGATAGAACTGACATTTCAGGACCGATCAGCTGTGCCAGGACAGATCGGTTCTCCTGCACATACCATCTGCGATGCCGATCTTCACTGGAACAGCTGAGAAAGGTTGGAATGTTTCACCTTTTGCCGGTCACATATTCCACCGCCGTAAAACTGGGCGGGATCACGTTAAAATGTGATCCAACATTCCAACCCAGTCACAAACTTTGATAGAACACAGGCTTAATTATAGAGATCTCTACGATTAAGCCTGTAAAGGTGAAATGCATGGGGGGGGGATTCCATCACGTTGGAAGCTGTAAGTGTCGTGGAATAAAGTTTGCAATTATTGGACAGCAGTGTGCCGTTTTCTTCAAACGTAGCATGCGTCGCTGTACAGAAACCTGGACTTTCACCACAAACTCTTGCACTCTCCACTACGTTGTCCAGCAGTCAGTCAGTGCGGGGACTTGGTGCAACCCAAGTTCTACCAAGCCTATGCATAACTATCACTGGCCCACTCAGTTGCAGCCGGGACAATCCCTGCCCAGCAGTGTCACTTTAATTCCTGGCTAATATTTTTGAGCTCCTTCACACCCACACATATGTAAAATCGTGCTTTATTTGCAAGCATTTCTATGTTTTCTATCCTTTCGTTTATGTGTGTGTTTATTTCTTCATTCATTATGCAAAGTAAGGAGACATTTTAACAATCAGGTTTTTACACGGTGCAGGTGCATCAATAAATGTGCAAAACAACTTTAAGGTGCCCACACACCTTGTGATAATCGTACGATAATCGCGGGAAATCCCGCAATTGTACGATTATCGCAAGGTGTGTGGAAGCCGTGCGACCTCTACTACTGTAAGGTCGCAAAACTTTTATCTTACAAACATGTTCGAAAACCCGCCGAGCATCGTACGATGTTCGGCGGGTGTGTAGTATGTTCGTAAGATAAAAGCCGGACGGGCCGGTGTGCGCAAGCGCACACTGCCCGTTCGGCATTGCGGTCATCGGAATCCAAGATAGGCAGATCGGCAGATTGTACAACCCTCGCAAGACAAAAGTCTTGCGAGGGTTGTAAGGTGTGTGCCCAGCATTACTCAGTATTTCTACACGAGCTGCCTTCTTCATACAGTACAATTCATGCGCTTTACTGCAGAAAAGCGAACAAGTGTGAATGAACCCCAAGTAGTTTTCTGAGCTCCATGGGAGCACCTAAAACCGGGGAGATCAGTATACAAGGCTCTGCTATTGCACCAACACAGCTTAAATCTGGTCTGCCTTGCTGAACTACAGAGGGGCAGCAAAGCATTATGGGATACAAAGGGACGTGGTGGAGTTACCGTTTAAAAAAAAATCTAATTGCAGTTACTTGTAACTTTTTATAAGACTTTCTTTTTGACAGGTTTACTTTATGTTGCACAACTCAGAATGTGTCTGCTTCCTGCGTTCCCTAGCCGACACAGAAACACAACGTGGGAACATTTAATTATAGAAACGCATGTATTTTATAATTTCAGAAGCGCTGGCTCCTTCGCGGACCGCTTGGCAGTTTTATTACAAACCCCCAGATTTTACAGCTATAATCAATGTCCTGTCTTTGGAAGTAGTGGAGCAGATCCTGTTGTCTTTATGACAAGCTGTACACGCAATTAGTGTTTCTTTTAGCTCCTGACTGAGCGGCCGGGGCAGCAAAGGTTCCCAAACCCCTTCGTGCCCATTGTGTTTTATGCCTCCGAGGCTGTAGGCAGGCAGAAGGCTTTGAAGTGAACCTGTTTTGTTAAAGGTGTTGACTTGAAGGAGAACTCTGGGCAAATAAAATCTTAACCCTTGCAGTTGGGCTTCCCCTAAGTGATGGACTAAAATCTCAATTCAAATTGGTAAACTAAACATGAGATTGTAGTCCATCCCGTGAGCGAGCTTGGAGCGGTGACTACTTTACAACACACACAGGGACCATGGGGAACAAAAGTAGCCGCCCTTGCAGTGGGGCTTTGCCCCAAGTGAGGGTTAAGTGCTCGTTTTCCCATGCTGGGCAAAGGGGTTGACTTAAAGGAGAACTCCAAGCAAAGAGAATCTTAACCCTTGCGGTGGGGCTAACCCCACACTGCAAGGATTATGTGCTCATTTTGCCTAAGGAGCTCTAATAACAGAGATATATTCACCCAAACCATAGTCCCGTCTAGTTCCTAGACCGGTCCCTGGAGAGAGAGATTGAGGGGAGAGAGAGATCGAGAGGAGAGGGAGAGATCGAGAGGAGAGGGAGAGATCGAGAGGAGAGAGATCGAGAGGAGAGAGATCGAGAGGAGAGAGAGAGGAGAGATCGAGAGGAGAGAGAGAGATCGAGAGAGACTGGGTCATCACCCCAATCTTCCTTTTGGCAGTGAAGAATGGGCCCTGTTACCTACCCAGGCCAACCCAAATGGGACAATAGCCCTCAGATTCGGCATGCATCTCCTACAAGTAGATTGGGGCACCTCCTAACAACAGAGAGAGAGCTTTTTAGGAAAGAGCAGTGTTGAGGCACCATATTCTGTGAGATGACCATCGTCAAATGACAGTGATCGCTAGTCTGGTGACCGGGTACTTAGATTCCAGACCCTTCTCTGTGACCATGGCTATTAGTGGCTATTGGTCACAGCAAGAATCCTTCACTTTCGTGCCGCCAATGCTGAAGGCGAGTAGGCATGTTTGCTTATCACTACAAATGTTCCTTCAGGGATCTCCTGTCCCTTTAACTGAACCGTATTAAACGCAGTTTATGCATTCCCATATATTTATTGCTATAAAATGCCAGCCCACCTGCCATGTACGAAGCAAGAAAATAATGAGTTTTAAATACCTGCTGATCACAAATTGGTACTTTTGCGTTGCCCGTGGAGACAGAATAAGTCGGATTGTCAGATTAAATGAAATTTGCCCACTATGTTTTGACAGATCATATCTGCTGACCCTGACGGGTTAATTAAGGCTCATTTGCATAATCAAAACCTAATTGGAAGTGAAATTCAAATGATGTTTTGTGTGCGTTGAGGAGGAAGCGGAGCTGATATGGAGCCCTTTTAAAGGCTGACTAAGTGGGGTGACAGAATCTCGTGATTGGGGTCAGTGTGTTTAACGGTGGAACATTAGCAGTGTCCCTTAAAGAAGAACTCCACAACAAAAACCAGTTTCCACAGTGAAGATATTGCAGGGTAATTGAGTTCAGCAGGTATTGGCAACAGTAAGGTTGCCACTGCTTGGCACCTCAAGTTGACATGGACACTGGATACAGAAGAGTATCCAACACCTGTGTTGCTTCTGTGGCTTTCTGCCTGTGGTTGCACCCATCTTTCAGTGGGAGGAGGCGATGGCCAATAGACAGCAATTTCCTTCAGTGGACAGCCAGGAGCCAAACGTAGCATACAGGTTTGGGTTGTCGTGCTGCCAGCCTTGACTACCCATATGCTGAGATCTCTGAGGCTGTTGGCAGGGGTCATAGGAAGCTACCCTTAGGAATATCTGTATTACTGAAGCCTTAGAGAAGAAACCTTGGTGTTTAGGTGATCCCCTTTATTGGCTAACTTAGGTTATTCATTGTGAAAGCTTTCGGCATTCCTTAGATCTCTTCATCAGGCTAACACAGTACAATGCTGTACTACTGAGTCCTTAGTTATAAACAGGAGATTAGATGAAACTCCAAGTAACCCTTTTATAGCGGACCTGTGCTGTAAATGTAATCCTAATTAACCCGTCATGGCAAAACATGGCGGCTGCTGTCATTGACTTCACCTTCTGGAAATGCTGGTTGTCTGGCTGTCATGCT